AGTCCCCTCATCATCCTCATAGCCCTCCACTGGACTCTCTCCAGTAGCTCCTCATCTTTCTTGAACTGGGGAGCCCACCACTGGACACAGCACTGCAGATGGGGCCTCCCCAGGGCAGAGCAGAGGGGGCGGAGAACCTCCCTCGCCCTGCTGCCCACACTCCTCCTCATGCACCCCAGGATCCCATTGGCCTTCTTGGCACCCAGGGCACGCTGCTGGCTCATGGTCACCCTGTCGTCCCCCAGCACTCCCAGTCCCTCTCCGCAGAGCTGCTCTCCAGCAGCTCAGCCCCAGCCTGTACTGGTGCCTGGGGTTGTTCCTCCCCGGGTGCAGGACCCTGCCCTTGCCCTTGTTGAACCTCATCAGGTTCCTCTCTGCCCAGCTCTCCAGCCTGTCCAGATCTCGCTGAATGGCAACACAGCTTCCCCAGAAAGCAGCTGCCAATGGGTGCTAAGGGGTCACAGGCAGCTAAAAAGGGCTTCACGGAGGTAGGCTGGATGCCCACCTGTCGCAGAAGTGCTGGGGCAGCCATGGACCTCAACCTCTTTTCGCCCAGGTATCGGTGACACCAGCGCTGGTGGGCTCCCCGGCAACAGGCAGGCAAATGCTGCTCGATGGAGCCGAGTATTTTAGTTCAGGTCAAATTAATTCCTAGCTCTTCCCCTGAACCAAAAAGCAACAGCAAAGGGGAGGGAAAAAAATTTCCCTCTGTTGTGGGTGAGCTCATTCCATGAAAGCCCTTAATGTCGCTGTTGCTGTGGCAACTTTCAAATTGTAGGAGGGAGAATTGGCCAATTTTCTTCACATAAAAGCATCATGAGAATATTGCAGCAGTGGGCTGTTCTTTCTGACTCCCAAGTATCATCAAAAGCAACACTTAAGCCCTCCAGGTTTTAACAAAAGAGTTTTGAAGTTCACTTTGCTCTGGAGTACGTTACGGAGGACTCTGGCCAGCCCAGGGAGGAGGACGAGGTCCCTCCCCACCGCGGCTGTGAGGTGGGAGATGGTCTGAAGGGAGCAAGACGCTGCACCGGTGAACACTTCACTTCTGCATTTCGGTAACATCCTTCAGCTCCAGTGTTTGGGGCTGGATGGCCAACCCAACAACAAGATAGTGGAGATATTCAAGACCCACCTGGACAAGGTCCTCTACAGCCTACTGTAGGTGACCCTGCTTCGGCAGGAGGGTTGGACTAGATGACCCTCAGAGGTCCCTTCCAACCCTGGCCATTCTGTGATTCTGTGATCTGAGTATTTGAGTCAACCTTTCTAAAAGTGCTTGTAGGTGCTTTGTGGATGTAAAAAGTTGTGCTTGGACAAGGAAGGAGAATCCTTCATCCAGGAGTTTCTGCTTCTCTACAATCAGTTCGTTCCTCATCCTGTGTATTTGGAAAAACCCTTGGTGTCGGTAGCAGAAGGCTTGCTTGGGGTGCTTAGGGGCTAGGAAACAAATCACGAGCAGATCTGCTTTCCAAAGGCAGACCAGATGAAGTAAAGCCTTGTGTGTGCTCGCTCATCTGGAGAGCAGTTCCTTCAAGAAGAGGCGTCCAAGCCCACCTTGCTACCCATGGCTCTGTCACAGGGACTCAAGGACCAAGGGCTTTACCCCACACCCACCTCCAGGGTGAGGACCAGCTCCAAGACCAGCCTGGAGACAGCAGCGATGGCTGCAGAGCTCCGACTCCAATGACTCCGCCAAAAAGGGGAAATATTTCATGAGTAAAGAGTATTGGTAGGAGTGAGACAAGTGCTATCAAAATGTCTTCTGCAATTTAAGGCCACAGCTCAGCCATGAACCGCGGCGTCTTTGTAAGAAGGCGCGTGAACTCTACACAAGGGAGATGTGGCAACCAAAAGCTGCAGAAAAAACAGAAATCCTCAGCCAACCTCTTCACATCTCTCAGCTGGAACACCGGAGCCTTTACATTTATTGTCTGGAATATCACATCTGAGCTGGAAGTGATAGAAAACACGCCCAGGGTTTGCTCAGCCCATCGATATTCTGCGACAACGACCAAAACCGGGCAGCAGAGACGTGGCGGCAGCAGCAGCGCTGTACGTTCGTCCTTACTAACAGACCGCAGCGCCGTGGGAGAAGATGCACAGGACTGACAGGGAGCCTGGGAAAGCCCGCGGGAGGAGATCACCACTGCCTCGACCCAGGACTTTGTAGTCTTAAACCGGGTGGCAAGGTAGCTGGGACGGGAAAGCTTGGGTGTAGGAAAAAGGTGCCTCTCTGCAGTGAGCTGAGCTTTGAAGCAGCCTGTGTGAGCACACAGAAAAGAAAACGTTTCAGAGAGAAAGACTTTCTGTGCTGTAATTGCACCACGGAGCAAGAAGGTCTCCACCGGAGCTTCTGAATATTACAAAAACCCACGGGTTTCTTGGGAATCTGGCATGATGAGAGGAGTCTCCTTCTCTGGAGATATTCAAGACCTGCCTGGCTGCGGTGCCTTGCCCCCTGCTCTGGGTGACCCTGCTTCGGCAGGGGGTTGGGCTGGGGGACCCACAGAGGTCCCTTCCAAACCTGACCATTCTGTGATTCTGTGATTCTGCGCAGAGACAGAAGGCTTGGGATGATCCGCAGACCTTGCAGAAGTATTTCCCCCAAATTTACCCCGAGAAAGCCTTCCTGACGCTCTGAGTGCTCGCAATTTATAAAATCAATACATTAACTTTGATAACGAGCCTCTAATCATCATTTGCCACCTAACAACAAGCAGAGCAGATGGGGAGCCGCGTTTCCATCATGCTCCACCTTCTACCGCAGCCACCGCTAAAAGCAAAGCGAAGTTCTGGTGGGAAGTGTGAACGTTTCCGAGTGGCTGAAACGCGGCTCCATCTGCTCGAGCAGACGGGACGGAGCGACGCGGTGGGAATGACAAAGTAGCCGCGGCAGGGGACGGATTGGGAGCAGCACACGTACCTCTGGGCTGTATCGCAGGGCGAGCCCTTCCTCTTCCGAGAGTCGGGGTTGGCAGGGTCCGTTGAGCTGTCCCCAAGGCCACTCATCTTGGTTGACCTACTGTGCACCTGGAAGCAAAGAGAGACAGAGTAAGGACAAGCTTTTTGCAGCTGCAGGAGGAGTGGTTCCACCACGCTAGAGCCACAAAACATGGACCAAATGACCTCTGAAGAGGTCACTAACCCACCACAAGTCTTTCTTACTGAATTGATGCCTCGTTTGTGAAGGAAACGGTGTGAAGGGAAGACAACACGTGATCACGTTACGTTTTGGTGTCCCCTGGCCAAGCAGGTCCTCACCACCAGCACCACCACCCTAACACCACAGACTGAGCTCTTCCCTGCATCCCTGCAAATTTTACCTTCTTGGCCTTACAGCATTTGAAGAACTATCTCAACAGTGCCCGTGTCAATGCTTTGTTTAAGTGTGTTTGATTGCTTTTGCTTTGTTTCCTTTTCCTGCAAGCTTCTCCTTCAGCCCTTCTTGGGCTCCTCTGCCATCTCCCCGCGGGTTCCTCTGACTCACGGCTGGCAGAGGACGCTCCACCCCTCGCATTGTGTCTGCGCTCCTGCTCCCCCACCACCTCCTTTCCCCTCAGCGCATGGCCTGGGCTTTAATTAGAGCTGCAAACTGACTCATCTCTTAACGGGATGCGACACCCTCCCACGAGCCCCTTCCCCACCTCCCGCTGAGGCTGCCTCCCACGCACGGCCCTGCCAGCCCCAACCTTCTCCTGGCAGAGAGCTTCCCACCACGGCCAGTCCTTGGCCGGTCCCAACTCCGGGCACCTCCTGGGTTCCAGCTCTCTCCAACACCCAGACATTTCACCCTTATTTTTAAGGTGTAATTTCAACAGATGTTGGGTAAAGTAGTCCATGCTAAGGCAAACGAGAGGTCTAAGCAACCAAAGAAGGTCCAGAAGTCATGAGGATTGTAACCCCGCATGATCCCATGTTGATGCTCCTTAAGAATGAACTATATATTTTTATTTAACTGAATAAAATACTCTGTAAGCCCAATAAGGACAAGAAAGCCAATTAAGGCTTCTTTCTGGATACTTCGTCTTGAAGGGTGTTAAAGGGGTTTGACCAAAGACCACGACACCCTCTGACCCGAGAACGCAGCCACAGTCCCCTCTGACTGCCTGAACGGGGCGAAACACCTCTGTAGGACAGGGTCAAACCCTCACTCAACACCTTCAACCACGGGACACAGCTTCTCCAGAGCAGAAATCAGCTACGCGTGTTGCTTCCCTTGCTTTGATCAAGCCATTCCGTGATTTTTCATTCAGTAACCACAATAATTCCACCCTGGATAATGCCACCTTCTGAATTTTTTAATTAGTTTGGAATTTTTGGAAGTGTTGATCATTGTGTGAAGACACAATCCCTGAGAAATAAAGCAACGGGATCCTGGACAAGAAGGTAGTAATTTGGAGAGCAAAACTTCTTCAACTGGATTCCCTTCATTTCTTACATTACTTTGTAAAAGCTGGAAATTTAACGAGGATTAAACTGCTGATGGATTGTGATAAAACAAACCCTAGGAGACACGTCCACAGTTCCCACAGCCCAGATTCCCCATGCTTTATTCAGCCTGCCCACGGGCACGGTGGGATGCCTTCAGTGGTCCAGCGTCTCCCACCCACTGCCCATCCCGGCGCAAGGCTCATCAAAAGCCATCGGCACTGGCTCATCTCATGCTCAGACAGGTGATGATTAAAGTCCTACCAGCTTTTGAAAGTCCTCGGAGTCCCAGACCACATCTGTAGGCCAGGTCCTCCTGACCTCAGAGCATGGCAGAGGGATGGACACAGCCTTGAGCATCTTCTCCACGCCCTGGTTGCTCGAAGACCCCAGTGTTCAAACTAAAAAGCCTTCCAGTACCTGAAGGAGCCTGCGAGAGAGCTGGAGAGGGGCTTGTGACAAGGGCATGGAGTGATAGGACAAGGGGTGATGGCTTCAAAGTGAAAGAGGGGAGATTTAGATTAGATCTAAAGTAGAAACTGTTTACACTGAGGGTGGTGAGACCCTGGCCCAGGTTGCCCAGAGAAGTGGGAGATGCCCCATCCCTGGAACCATTCCAGGCCAGGTTGGAGGGAGCTCTGAGCATCCTGAGCTGGCTGGAGATGTCCCTGCCCATGGCAGCGGTTGGACTGGATGGCCTTTAAATGTCCCTTCCCACACAAACCAGTCTGTGATTCCACGAAAACCAGCATTACCAGCTTCGCTATCTCCTGCAGCTGTGGTGTCCAGGGGGGTGTGACACATTTTGGCTCCCCAGTGACCCACCTCCACGCTCTGCGCTGAAAACCTCTACCCTGAAATAAGTGAAATATTTGTGCTCAGCTCAGTGGTACGGGGAAAGAGCCCGTCTTTCTGCAGCACGCTGGCATTTCTGCTAACGGTTGCATCACCGGCGATAAGGCGAACGCGGTTCCTGAAATTATTTTAGCAATATTAGTGCAGGTGATCGATCAGACGGGCATGAGAGCTCGTCCACTGAAATCAGAAACCCTGAGCAGATGCCAGCAAGCTGGCCGTGACCAGGGATCCGAGTTCATCCCCCGCGTCTTTGGCACGTTTGCAAGAAGGAAAGATGCCAACACAAACATAAGATGGGGCGGGGGAAAGCAAACTCTTGGAAAATTTAGAGACTGGAGAACTAGAAGTGCTGCATCATCTGCTCTGGGCAAGAAGGGCTCACTGGGGTTGCAGACAAGCTTCCCGGGGTTTCAACCTTCTTCTTGAAGGCTCAACTTGCTCTCTCCCAAACACTGAGTCTCCGTCAGTAGCATTGCTCTTACAGGTCATGATCTTCATCTCTCGGTAACTGAATTCAAAGGAAGAACGCGCGGGGATATGGCAGGCAACGTCCGCTGTCCCACCGGGTCGCTCTGCAGCGGGCCCGTGGCTTGGCGAGAGCGACCATATGCCCCGGAGAGGTGAACTAAGGACAACGTCGCAGCCTGAGCTGAAAGCCTTGGCTTGAGCTAAGCCCTTGATGTCACACACTCAATGTTTCTTTTTAGTGTAAAAGTAGTTTATTCTACGGCAAAACTTGCCAGGGCCGACAAGCCAAAAAATGTCATTTGGTCTAAAAATAACGGGGATGACTGGGTCCGAAAGCCCCGTTGGGTCAGGGCAAGACCAGGGGACACCGTCCCCCACCGAGGGCAAGGGTTGGGCTGCCGGGGAAAGGCAGCTCTGCCCGTTGCTGCCCGCACTTGGGGGCCTTTCAGCGGAAACCTGATTTCTAAACACTGGCTTCTTGTAAAAACGTTCTGGAAAGCCACCAGAGGCATAGGAAGGAGGGCGGGACGGTAACGAGAACGAGCTCATTAGAGGGGGGAAGGCATAATACGGGGGCTCTCTGCAGCAGACCTCTGCTAAACCGATTGCTACTCTGCTGTCACAAACCACCAAAAATATATATTAAGGGACAGTATAAAACGCTGCTAGTGACCCCATGGTGACGCTCGCTCACCGTGGCCCCTTCGGAGATGTTTGACCACGGCAGGATCAAGACCTAAGCGTTGCATCAGTGCAAGGAGCGTCGGCCTCTCACCTCCCTCCAAACGCACGCGGCTGCCCAGGGAGGCCTTCTTTGCAGATATTCAAGGCCCGCCTGGACAAGTTCCTGTGCAGCCTGCTGTAGGTGACCCTGCTTCAGCAGGAGGGTTGGACTAGGTGACACACAGAGGTCCATTCCAACCCCTATCATTCTGTGATTCTGTGATTCTGTCATCCCAAAGATGCCCTGAACGTGCTGCTCTGAAGAAACTCCGTGCCATGGCGCAAACCCAAAGCACAGAGTGAGTTTTCTTCATCAACTACGGACATTATCATGGCAACCAGCACCTTCATGCTTGGTCTTGGGTGCAGCTGGTGCCCAAGCCCGCGGTCCTGCAGCATTGTCGTCGATGAGCAACGCTGCGACATGCACCATCTTCACCAGCAAGACTGCGGCTCCCCAGCTCCAGCCACACCAGGGCTGAACTCAAGCCACCAGTAAGGGCAAAGGTTTGGAGCTTCTCGAAGGTGATTCTCCATATCCGCGTTGCTGTTGCTTCCCTGATTCTTGGCCCAGAGATCTGGATATAGGACCAGACCCCGGCCCCTCTTGTCACCAGAACCCCAATGCACCACTGCATCTGCTCACCAAAGGCTAATTAGTCTCAAAGAGACTAATCAGAAGGAAAAAAAAAAGGAGAGAGGGTGATGGATAAGAAGCACAAGAGCTGATGTGACCTGCCAATGGCAAGACAGGTGAAACTACCTCTGAGTTCCAACGTGACACTCTCTCCTCTTCCACTGGTCCTTCAACGTGCCATACTGGGAGCGTCTACCCGAAGAAGATGCTGCTTTTTGGGATGCTAACGAATATTCTCGCAGAGACCAGAGGACGAAGCACCAGCCAACATCAACATTCTGGAGCGCATGAGGAGGAGTGTGGGCAGCAGGGTGAGGGAGGTTCTCCTTTCCCTCTACTCTGCCCTGGTGAGGCCTCATCTGCAGTGCTGTGTCCAGTGCTGGGCTCCCCAGTTCAAGAAA